ATGATGTATATACCATAATGTAATCTATTCTTTTTCATTTATTTAAACACACACACACACACACACACAAACACTTAAGTACATCCCTGTGTCAAAACATAAAAAGATACCTTGCCTCATTCTTTTTCAGCAACCTGGTACAATTCTCTTGTTTGTTCTCTTGTTCTATCATTTATCTCAGTGGATTGTTTCCAACTTTTTGCTATTGCAAGGAGGGTTGCAAACAGCTGCCTGCAGTTAACAGTTTCCTGGGCCAGTGACTGATTGAAGTTCAAGGCATCTGAAAAGACCAGCTCAGCACCTGCATGCTGCTCTGACTTCACTAAGGCTGAAAACCCTTGTACTGATGATGTCTTCGCAGTCTGGCTTTGCCAATGATTTCTAGGGTAACATGATTTCTCCGAGCCCTTCTGCGCTAGAGCCATTTCTTTTTAAAAAAAAAAATAAATTTATTTTTTATTGATGTTCAATTTGCCAACATACAGAATAACACCCAGTGCTCATCCCATCAAGTGCCCCCTCAGTGCCTGTCACCCATTCACCCCCACCCCCCGCCCTCCTCCCCTTCCACCACCCCTAGTTCGTTTCCCAGAGTTAGAAGTCTTTATGTTCTGTCTCCCTTTCTGATATTTCCCACACATTTCTTCTCCCTTCCCTTCTATTCCCTTTCACTATTATTTATATTCCCCAAATGAATGAGAACATATAATGTTTGTTCTTCTCCGATTGACTTATTTCACTCAGCATAATACCCTCCAGTTCCATCCACGTTGAAGCAAATGGTGGGTATTTGTCGTTTCTAATGGCTGAGTAATATTCCATTGTATACATAGACCACATGTTCTTTATCCATCATCTTTCGATGGACACTGAGGCTCCTTCCACAGTTTGGCTATTGTGGACATTGCTAGAGCCATTTCTGAGATTGGCCAGAGTGTCTGCTGTTGTCATGAGCAACGTGTACACATTTGTGCCATGTCCTCTTCCAGTTTGCACTGGGTACAATATTAGAGAACATCGATATTTGCTGTGTTATAACATCTTTCTTTGTCAGGATGTGAAGCACTTTTGAGCCAATGCTACTCAGAAAAACAAAATCTATTAAAACGAGACATTTTGAAGACATCAGCTTTTTTGTCTAAATTAACTATGGAGGTACGTAATGCTTACAATTGGAAATTGAGTGGACATGGGGGATGGATTTGGCAATGGCGGTAGATGACATTCTAGCCAGTTTCAGCTAAGCCAGATGATCCTCAAGGGAGTAACGTAAAAAGGGAGTCTCTTCTGAATTTTCAGATACCTAGCTGTAAAGACCTGCCTTGCTTAGAAAATTCCAGGCATCAGTTAAGCTCAGAAATAGTAATTCCCTGTTTCCAGCTGAACCTGATTGAGAACCAATCACAGTAACCACTTACCTATGGTTTCTAGAAACACACACAACTGACGTTCTAGGTCTGGCTCCACTGAAGTGGCCATGAGCGAAGTTTCAAAAAAGAAAACATACAGAGGAGGTGATAGGTGATTCCCTTAATTTCATACTCCCTGAATGTGCAAGTCTCCACACACAGCTATAGTCAATCATCAACCATGAAACTGTTGGGTTTATATAAATAGGACTGCAGAAATGGGATTGTGAGCATCTGACCAGATGATGGTAAATTCTCTGAAACTTGCTTTTAGAGCCTGCATTGTATGGGTATGTTTAATGGGATAGCCTCTGGTCAGGTCAAAGTCTTTTATGAAATTCATAGCTCTTGGCACAACTCATCCTGCAGAAAAATAATCAAATTATACATCAGGCTATTAAAATGAAACCTCATGCACTAGGATACTTTAATCAGAATTGGGAAAGTGGTGTGATTCCCCCTTCTTGGGCATTAGCCTTATTAATGAAATGTGGCCAAAGGTCCCATGCTGACCAGACACAAAGGTCCAGATGTCGAGTAAATGTGTAACAGAAGGGAAACAAAGACAACTCCAAAGGTGACCGGGTGCAAAGGATTGGTGATTTAAACTAAGAACACACAAAATTTGCAAAGCAAAATTAGAACGAAAAATATATATATTTTTCAAGCTAAGGTATATATGTATAAATTGTTTTTATAAACAAAAATGGTAAGAAGGAAATACAACATCAATAGTGAGTTATGATGGGTAGTTTGGGTCATTTTCTTCAAACTTTAGCATTCTGTAATTCAAATTTTCTTCAATGAGTCTATATTACTTCTATATACCAAAACACATACGAAAAATAGAATTTTTTAACTAAACAGATGTTCAACCCAAACAGCTTGAATCAGTGCATATTTAAAAGCAAAAATAAATAAAATTTTTAAAATTAAAAAATAAACAAAAGCAGATTTAAATTCAACACTCCCTGCTGTAGAGACCCTATTATGATTTTTAGCCAAAGCTAATTCCAGCATACTAACTGGGATGGGGCAGAGGCTTTGGCTGAGAGATTGTGGGAAGTCTGGTTTGGCTCCGATTTTCAATAACCTCTTACTCCTGAGACCAGGACAGGTGCTCCGGCTTGACAGTCCAATGCTGATCAAATTGAAATCAGTGACTCATCAGCTCTATTAAGAGGATACAGAATTACACCTTATGATCTCAGTCTGCAATTAATGAGCAACATGTCATTAGAAGCCAGCCCCATAATTATTAAATGAAGATGCTGAAAATAAAATAATTTATCATCTCCAACAAAGAAAAAGAGCCAATAGAACCATGGACAATACTCTTAATTCTTCTAACCCTAGGGATGTGAAAAAATATTCCCAGGCTGGAAGACAAGAAGCATCCTGTTATTTTGCAAAGAAAGCGATGTCAATTGCCAAAAAGAATGAGGAAAGAAAGAAAAGGTACATGGATTGAAGCATTCCTGGTCAGACACCTATGTATGTGGAAGGAAATAGACACCAGCCAGTTTGCCACACAACCTGGCTATCTTGGACCACTTACTAAAGAACTTAACCACTGACAATTTGGAAGAAAATGCATCTTTGTTTTTATCAAATAAACTCAGAAAAATAGTACTATTTTTTTAAAATCTGAGTTTCAAAAGAGATTTTTACCAGTGCTTACAATGTCCACTGCAGTGTTTTTCTTTTTTTAAAGATTTTTTATTTATTCGACAGCGTGCGCCTGAGCATAAGGTGAGGAGGGGAACCAGGGAGGGGCATAGGGAGAAACAGGCTTCCCATGGATCAGGGAGCCCTACACAGAGCTAGCTCATCCCAGGACCCTGAGATCATGACCTGAGCTAAAGGCAGACACCCAACCGACTCAGCCACCCAGGTGCCCCAATTGCAGTGTTTAAAAAGGCTGCCCTTATCAGCCAAGTTGCCTGGGGACTGACCAGCTCAAAGAAAACCTAAACTGTGGTGTATCAAAGTGTTCAAGAGCAGAAACAAGAGACTGCCTAAGTATATACATCATCTTCAGCCAGCAAGTGTTGGCTACAGTAAGTTGAAATCTCCCAAATCATCCTTGCCGGTCTTTTTCTTAGCTGTTTATAGGCATGGATTTTCACTCATGCATCTGTTGGGGAACGTCATCAAAAAGACATGATTGCAAAAGTAGTTAGAAAATACAACCTGAATTACATAAGGCCAGAATATTTTGTATATGATCACAGAAGAGCTCTGGAAAAATCTACTAGTCCCAAATAATGTAAAGCATTGAATTCCTCAAGGCTGAGCAGATAATGATTTTATCCCAATTAGCATGATTGCTAATTGACCTGTGAGCTAGCCCAGACACTCAGAGGTGTCCCCCCACCCCCATCCTTGGGATGTGGGTTCTGCTTGCCTTTCTTGCTCCCAGAGGCAACTACAGGGACATAGCCTTGAGATAGTGAGTGATGTGGTTATTGAGAACACTGACACTGTATACATTGTACCTGGTTAAACTTTATAAACTTTTAAGATTTGGCTGGTGGGTGGGAGCCACAACTATGAGGTATCATGACTGTTGTATTATTAGACCACTGATTTTTCTTTTCTGAAAATATATTTGAGCATCACAACTGGAAAAACTACAATTCTAAGGGAGTCAATCTCATGTATTCTCCAAAGATGGAAGCAGAAACTGAATTACCCTAATTTTTCCAAGTGGCCATTATTGGGTTTAGTATTTAAATTTTGTCAAGAAAATCATCTCATTTCATGCATTGTGACTTTTGTCCTTAGAGAAGCAGGGATGACTCCAAGTTCTCATAACCTCAATGTACCTCTCTAATTTAAAGCCATCTTGAGGGGCTCCAACCCCAATTTCTGGGTCAAGTTGAATTAACCCCAAGTTGGAGCCCTAGAAACTATTATTTGCAAAGATTACTGTTACCATTTAGAAATATGTATACTACCTAAATTTTCTTTAGAGAAAAACTATCCACCGAAAAAAAATTGCCTTGACAAAAACTATCCACCAAACAAATTGCCTTAGTCTGGTTCGACTAATCATTTTGGCTTTTTAAATGATGAGTGTTATGCAAGGTGGATCCTCGATAAGCCAACATTGCACTGTGGATACATATCTATGTTTACGAGCTTTTAGAACAAAGGGACTGTATAAGAAATGTTGCTTTGAAGGAATATTTGCAAAACATGCAAACTTCTGTATCTGTATTTGGAAAAAATAAAACAGGTTTTTGTTGCTAAAAAAATTTTTTTCCTCATCTTGCTGCAGGCTACGATAAGCCTAGTATACAAGTTCCCTTTGCTTATTAAAATTGCCATCTACCAACCTGGAATGGCCTGCATCTTCCTTCCATCTTTCCCTGCCCTCTGAGTACAGAGGCTGCTTTCAGATTTCACCAAGGAAACTCCAGGTGGATGGTAAACAGCATCTCATGCCATCCCCCTGGAAGGAATTCACTAAGATTTTCATAGTATAATCACTGCACTTGAGTCCACATTTATTAGATGTTTCTGAACTTAATTATTTCATTGGATATTTTTGGCATTTGCGGGGGAAAAAATGCCCCCACCCCCAGCAGTTCTAGGAAAGGTGCATGGCAGCTGCACGTAGGCTTTATGCTGACCTGTGCTGTCAAAGTGTCTTTGGGTTGCTCTCGCATGCAGTTGGAGATCCCATGGCCACAGCCGGCCAAGGCCCTTGGAAATATGCTGAAAAATGCTTTTTAATTAAAATATATATATATCTAACCATCACAGCTTGCCCCTAAAGGACCATAAGCTTTTTCTTCTTCAAGTCTTGATGGTTCCTATACCTCTCTTATGAAATACTGTATTTTACCTTTTATTGTTGTTTTTTATTTCTGTCATCAAGCTGAAAGCTATTTGAGGCAATATTTGTCTTACTCATCTTTGTTTTTTCTTGTCTTATTCATCTTTGTATGACTTCTAACACTTAGCAAGTGGTAGGAACTCTAGAAATATATATTGAGATGAATTAAATGTAATAATTTGGCATAAGCAGTACGACTGGTGCTGTCCTACTTAATTGGTACAAAATATCCAAAATTGCATTCATTATATCATTCACATCTAGCAATCAAAAGCCTGGTCATTGCTCTGTAATTTTTTTTTATTGCTCTGTATTTTTAATGGCTAATGTCACTAACATCTTCCCAGATACCTATCAGCCTCACCAATTCTCTCCATCAGCCATCTAGTTATATTGTTTCTACTTGTGCAGCTTCCCTTCCCTCTTCTCATTTCTTCTGTCATGCTATAGGTCTAGTATTTCATAGCAGGCTCTGTGGAAGACCCTCCTAATTTGTCTTGGTACTCTGTGGTGAACCCTCTCACCACTACCAGGGAAACCTTCCTTCTACAGATAATACTTTATTTTTCTTCCTCAAAAACGTCAAAACACTCTCAGTTACCCAAAACCTAAATGGCTTCTCCAAGGCTCTCTACTCTGATCTCAGCCTGGCCTAATTTCAAGCTAATCCATTCCACCAGCCCCACCCTCAAGCAGGCCCTTCACCATTCCAGGTCCTTGCCTAGACAGTTCCCTAAAATTTCAAATGAAGTTTAGGTTTATGTAGAGTCAAGTTTAACAGAAAGAGTAACAGGGAGGTACCTGAAACTTCTTCAGCTATTAGCAGTCATGCATTTCTTTAGCTGTAAGAGTACAGAAGAACTAAAGCTGGAAGCCAAGACTCTCAACACCTCTCCTCTGCTATATACCATGCAAGGATCAAACTCCTGGAGGGCAAAACAATGATTATACATTTTGACTCTGCAAGAGTAGGGATTTTTGTCTGTTCTGTTCCCTGATCTCCCAAGTTTCTTAGAATAGTGCCTATCACATAGTAGAAACTAAATAAATACCCATTAAGTGGGGGGAAACATCATGAAACATATTGTATGTGGGAGAAATTGGGGCCAAGATGCATTTAATGTGTGCCAGCTCTGTACCTGGCAGTGCATGAACCTTGGAGACAGCGACAGGCATTGGGAACCCATGTCCCACTCTTGAGGAGCTTAGAGTTCATGAAAGGAGACCAGCAAAGAGGGATTATTTGAAATAACTCAGATGGGGAATGTTAGGCCTCTTATTCCTCAAATGTCAAGGAAGAAATCAGCAAAATCTTCTATGGTCCCTGGCCCCTTCTTGTCTTAAACATGCTATTTATATTTCCCATATGAAAGCCCCTAGAGGCCTGGGCTGTTCCCTCTCATCTTGGTACTCTCTACAGTACCTGATGCAGTACTTTCCAATTACTTGTTGCTATTACCTGCTTTTGTCATTAAACCGACTGGGATCGTCCAAAGTTTCAAACAGAAATAAAAGTAGAGGTAAAGAAGAAAACTTCTCTGAACATTCTCTTAAGAAAAGGGTACTCCCAATAAATAAATCCTATGATGTGAAACAGCACAGAACAGAGCTGGCAGGAAAACTCCCACATTCAATCACCCACGCCTTGGGCAATTTCTTAGCAACCTTAAGCCTTGGCTTCCTTATCCATACTGTAAGAATAATCATATCTACCTCACAGGGTTAAGAGAACCTAATCAGATAATTAATGTGAAATTGTGGGCTACCTGCACAGCACAGGTCATGATCTCAGGATCCTGGGAAGGAGCCACCATCAGGCTCCCTGCTCAGTGGGGAGTCTGCTTCTCCCCCCACCCCCCATCTTGCTCATGCTCTCTCTCTCTCAAATAAATAAAATCTTTTAAAAAGTATGCGAAATTTCTCTCTAAGAATGAACAACGTTCACTACCACTAGTTACTTCTATTCCCACATGTGTGGAAACAAATCCCCTTTACATCTCCATTGCCTTCCTTCCTAACCTAGTCAACCAGGTAGAGTGTGGAAATATTTTGTCTTTTGTCTCCTAATTTCTCTAGATTTAAACTATTGGCTGTCTCACATGCAGGATTTAAAATGTAGATAAAAATCAAGTCTATTATTCTTGGAAATATTTGTTAATTAATATGGGAAAAGAATATTAAAAAGGAAAATAGATTAAATGTCACATGTACTTTTGGTTCATCCTATTTAGGAAAAAATGACATACTAAAAAAATAAGGAAATTATTCAAAGAAGGAAATCAAAGGTTCACAAAGGCATTTATTGCAAATTTATTTATAACAATGGAAAATTACAACTTTTAAGCCAGCTCTAGTAAAGTAGAATTTGTGTGATAGGGATTCTTGAGCTCACCTCCAGTTATTTGGATTCAGTAGATTTGGTCCAAAACGTAGAAATTTACATTAAGTACAAATGGCTTAAGCAATGACTATGGTACAATTATTAAATGGACATTTTTTGAAAGATAATAGAGCGGCAGCTGGGTGGCTCAGTCAGTTAAGTGTCTGACCCTTGAGTTTGGCTCAGGTCATGATCTCAGGGTCCTGAGACGGAGCCTTGTGTTGGTTCTGCACTCAGTGGGGAGTTTGCTTGAATCCCTCTGCCTCTCCCTCCACTTGCCCCCCCGACTTGCAAGTTCTCTCTTTCAAATAAATAAAATCTTTAAAAAATAAAAAGATAATGTAGCAACATGGAAAAACAAAATTGGTTATAGGATATAAAAATCTGTGTTCGTTCAGGACCAAGCAATATGTGGATTTGAGATTTTTTATGAATCCTTCAGAAAAACAAACCGTTGATAGCAGTGGTTTCTACCCTTCCCATAAGGGCTTCTCATTAGTGTAGTGAGTAAACAGTTACTGGACTTTACCAAAACAGCTTAGATTTGTTAGGCAACAAGAGGACAAGACACAATAGAGAACCATGCCATTAACCTTTCATAAAAAACAAAGCAACAACTACAGCAACTACTACCAGAAATTGAGAATGCAGAAATGTTGACATCATGACAATTTAGTGTACAAATATTATAGTCATTGATATATAAAACCACCATATCTCTCCCAGAGCATCCAAAAGATTAAAGAATTTACCATTTATTGGTGTTGGTGGATTAAAAGGTTTAGGTATCCTTTTTAATCTCTTAGCACCTTTAGTTGAGCTGCATTCTCTGGCATTACCGCATAAGATGAATCAAGAAGCTTGCTAATTTATTTTTTTTAAGGTTTCTCCGGTGGTGGAGGGGCAGAAGGAGAAAGAGAATCTTAAGCAAGCTCCACAAGCCCCAACACGGGGCTCAATCTCACTACCCTGAGATCATGACCTGAGCGGAAACCAGGAGATGAATGCTTAACTGACTGAGCCACCCAGTAGCCCCAAGAAGTTTGCTAATTTATAAAACAGTGATTTTTTTTTTCTAGTAGTCTGCTGTTTGGAGCCCAATCTTAATAGTTAATCTCAGACAATTTAAGCATTTAACAGATGAGCACCTTTTCTCCATGCCTCTGTTTCCCTGGGAATCTGTGTAATGCTCCCATGTCTCCTTGAAGTGGAAAATGGTGGATGCTAGAATCATTACCAGGTTCAGTTAAACCAGCTGTTAGGTAAAACATTCAAGCCAAAGATCTTCTCTGTTTTTAGATAAGTATCCGAATTTCTACTCCATGGAGAGCAAACCTAGCCATGAAATGGGGAGCACAGAAATAGCATTCTGTGCTAAGATGACAAAAGAAACTATGTTAGTAACTCAATTACTTGTGATATCTAGAAACATAATGTAAGCTCTTAGTCATGATCAGGCCAACACAGTTGGGCCTAAGGGTAAACTCTCTCCAAAGGCACTATTTATGACAGAGGTAGGCTGTAGGAATTTGGATCGTATTTAAAACCTACTCCTTCATCCCATACCAGCACCAATGCTATACAGACTTGCTCTAGGAACTTATTTTTGGTAACTTATTGGAATGGTCAGACAAGGACATAATCTTAGGCCTCACAGGGATCTTTTAAAAAAACTAAGCCATGCTAAACCTAAAAACAGCAATAAATACAAATATGCAGATAGATACAAAGCTTACTCGGTACAAACTTTTTAGCAATTCCACCAAGCTTCTGATTTCATCTGGGCAGAGAATGCCCCTGCATTGTTTTGTAGAGAATTAAACTCATATTCTGACTATATGGATTTTTCTCCAGGGAACTTGGCCTCACTCCCTATAGTCCCAGTCTCAGAGCCATTTTCAGCCTCATGCAGGTGAAATTTTAATTCTGGAGAGGCACATGTACTTCTGACCAGGGTGGATCTGGTGTTGGGTGCCCCATCGACAGCCATTCTTACTCTGGGGCCCAAAGAACTGGACCGTTTCCAAACTGTCAGAGGGCTGTAAGGATGTGCTGGAGTCAGGTCCAGGCAACCCATGTAGCTCTTGAGAACTACTCTCAAGAACCCACAAGATCAGCTCTCAAGCAGTTCTGGATCATATATCTCACACTGGCTTCCAGGAGCTACAGACCAAGTTGAACAAATTGTCTTTGGTTGTTGTCCTGACACCTTCTCCTATAGCTCTTGTCCTTGGGCCCAGTACACATTCCTGAGTTGGGGTCAGCACTTACCTGGCTTCTGGGTGGTTGAAAACTTCACAAGTAACAGAGCAACGCTGAATGTGTGAAGATAATTGTTCTCCAAGAACACTATTCTGAAAACAGTGATGGCACAATTATGGAGGTGTGGGTTTCTCTCACTAAAGGAATCAAGATGGATGATCCTTCTCACAGTTTTATACAAATGATCCTGTGGCACTAGTAGAAAACCTCCCAAGCCAGGGCTTCTTTATAGAAGCAGGA